TTTTTTTTTTTTTTGTTAACTGTCTTATAGTTTCTGACTTACCCTGTCTTGCTCTTCTAGAAGGAGTTCTGGAAAGTCTACAAAAATGGACTTCAGGGAGAAAGTAACACAGGACATAGCTGGTATTCATTTTACCTTGCATTCCCATTAATCATTGGCCTTTTTGTTATCCTCATTGTCATTTTTATCATATGGAGATGCCTCTTTAAAAAGAAAACGCGTAGACAGTCGGTGTACGTGCATAGGGGAGCCCACGAAGCGCTGGGTGATGGTGCTGTGGCTGACGGCAGAGGTCCTCTTCCGCCGCCTCTCAGCATTGTTCATTCCCCACAGGAGGAAATGTATGAAGTCAGTGGGCTCTCTCCAGGAGGTCTGAGCTTTACGGATGGACGGTCAGACTCAATATCCACAAGGCTCTCAAACTGTGATCCTCCTCCTTCGTATGAGGAAGCCACTGGTGAAATCAGTGTGAGGAGTGAAACTGAACAACATTTAGATCCACCCCCGCAGTACGAGGACATTGTGAATTCCAGTTTGGCCAGTGCGATGGCACTGTCTCCTGTTGTCACCAGTACCAAGTAAAGCAAGAAGAATGCTATGGACTTTTAAAAATTACTAATCGTTTTGTAGCACTTTATCTTGGCTTATGATGCATTTCTGTAATTGAATGGACTTATACAATGAACTTCACTTTTGGTTTAGATTCACTTGTTCTTTGGGTTTGGGATTTTTTTATTTCCCTGCAGCAGGTCTTAGAAGATACTGTATTGAGAGTGTAGTGCGGGTACAAACGTGGTGCTCTGTCATACTTCTCAAAAGTACCTCTGCTTTGAGGGATATCACTTGTGCTTTTCTGAATGTTGTCCACATTCCCCACGAGACTTGTGGAATCCCCATCCCCTTTCTTACTGCAGACTGTCAGAGTTGCCCGAAACAGGGAATCCTTAAGCAACATTTTAGATAGTTATTTACACTAAAGGGGACTGATTTTGCAGTATTGCCTCTTCTGCGGCTGGTTCTTTTTCTCACTTGGTTTTTTGTTACACGCTGCACCCTATCCCTGGGCCCTTGGAAGGCTGAGAGCAGTATGCCTTTGTGTTCACTGTCTC